CCTCACACAGCTGGGGGCCCCTCACACACCTGGGAACCGCCTCACACAGCTGGGAACCGCCTCACACAGCTGGGGACCCCTCGCACAGCTGGGAACCTCCTCACAGCTGGGGACCCCTCACACAGCTGGGGGCCCCTCACACAGTTGGGGACCCTCACACAGCTGGGGACCCCTTACAGCTGGGGACTGGCTTACACAGCTGGGAACCGCCTCACACAGCTGGGGACCCCTCACAGCTGGAGACCCCTCACAGCTGGGAACCACCTCACACAGCTGGGGACCCCTTACAGCTGGGGACCCCTCACACAGCTGGGAACTGCCTCACACAGCTGGGGACCCCTCACAGCTGGGGACCCCTCACAGCTGGGAACCCCTGACAGCCTGGCAGGGGACCCCTCACAGCTGGAGAGCCCTCACACAGCTGGGGACCCTCACACAGCTGGAAACTGCCTCACAGCTGGGGACCTCTCACACAGCTGGGGGCCCCCCGAAGCCCGGCAGGGGCTGGCTTGCTGGCTGAAGGCCTTACAGTGTCAGCACAGGGCCAGCCTGAGGACCTGAACTCAGGTTTGAGCACCTGCGTGGAACCCTAGCAGTGGCTGGAGGACGCTGTCTCAGCAGACAGAGACCTTGTCACACACTTGCTGAGCTCGCCGCCATGCCCTGGTGCTCAGGGTGGCAGGACAGACTGCTGGCTCCTCCTCTGATCTGCAGGTCCTCACTGTGGGATGAGCCTCCGCCTCCACACATAGAGTTACTGTAGCAAAGACTGTGGGCAGACCACTGGCTCCTCCCGCAGAGGACCTGGGTTCAATTCCCAGTACCCCCACAGCCACTGTAACCCCAGCTCGAGGGTCCAGGCACCTCACACGGGTGCTGCACAGACAGACATGCAGACAAAACACCCACAAGCCTAAAGTTTTTAAAAATATTTTTAAAAAGAATCAATCTTCCAAAAGTAATCAGTGTGTGTACTATTGAGTGTTTCATGTGTCCCCAGGGGCCTGTGTGTGGGTATTTATGCCACCAACTCGGCCGAGGCCTGCCAGTACGTCATCAACCATGCCAAAGTGAATGTATTGATGGTGGAGAATGACCAACAATTGCAAAAAATCCTGTCGGTGAGTGGGACTCGGTGGGTGCCTGCTGCGCCGTCTGGTGGGGGGTGGGGTTCCGCAGAAGCTCCATTCGAGGGGAGCATAAGTCAAGGAAGTCTGATTCCCAGGCCTGTCAACTGGACTCATTTCCCAGCCTAACTTAAGAACTGCGTTCACAGGGGCCAACATGGCGGAGCACCCATAACCCCACACCAGGGAGGTGGAGGCGGTGTGGGTGTCCGGGGCCCACTGGGCCAGCCAGCCCTGCCTCACTGCCAGTGGCTTGCCAGTGGAGAGCCAGTGTCCTGACAGCGTGGAGGGTGGCCAAGGAGCCGCACGTGGGACTGACCTTTGGCCTCGGCTGGCATATTCGCACTCGTGCAAATGCACATGTTACGGTGTCAGCAGCACTTGGCAGACTGAACCCAGGAGGATTTGATACAAATTTGAGGCCAGCCTGGGCTATGGAGAAAGTTCCAGAGTAGCCTTGGCAACATCATGACACCCTATCTAAAAAAAAAGAAAGAAAGAAAGAAAAGACTGCTTCTGCTATCAGGCTGCCCTTTCCTGGGCACGTGGGCCCTCGTGGCCCTCTTCAGCCATGGTGCCCGCTCTGCTGTGTTCATGGCACACCCACCCACTTGCAGGTGACAACTTCGCTTTGCAGTGAAATTTTCCCTGGGGTTTTTTTTGTTTGTTTGTTTGGTTGGTTGGTTGGTTGGTTGGTTGGTTTGGTTTGGATTTTGTGAGTGGTGAAATCTGTAAATTCGATTTTTGTTCGTCTGATGTAATTGTCATCTCCTAGGCTTACTGCTTCTGTCTGCTAACCTAGGCCTAGTCCTGGAAGCTTCTAGCCTCCCTACAGTCTAACCTAGGCCTACAATGTTTTCAGCCTATGAGGCTTACTGCTGAGTACGATCACTCTTTCTGAACTCTGGCTGGCTGGTTCAATTCAGCTGTTCTGGCTCACACCCCTCTCCAAGCTGATTGATTCATTCTGGTTTCTCTCTCGTCTGCCTGAATTGCTCTGCTTGACCTCAAACTAAATTCTAGCAATCTGTTCTAATCTCCTTCTCATTCTCTGGCTTCAACTGCCTCTGCTGACCTGCCCTGAACTCATGAACGAACTCCAACCTGGATGCTTTCTTCTGCAGCCCAACTTTATCTTCACTGTTCTGGATTAGAGGTGAACTAAGGGTGTGTCTGTTTTCCAGCTAGAGTAGCTGTTGCTGGATTAAAATCTCTCTGCAAGATCTGGCTTCTCTTCCTGTTCTTGCAGCATTTATTTTCATTTTTATTTTTTATGGATGTTGCAGAAGCACCTTCCATCCCTCACAGATGCCCAGCAGTTGCCTGGGTTTGGCAGGATAATCTGGAGGGGGAGGATCCTTGGAAGGAGAATCCATGTGGTTCATCTCAAGCTTGGTGTCAGGGGCTGGGAGGCGGGTCAGGAGGGCCCGAGTGTGAACCCCCAGCACCTATACAAAGCACCAGGGCCAGTGGCAAGGACTGTGATCACAGTGCGAGCAAGGCAGACGTATGCATGCTCAAACACAAAAGTTAAAAAATAAAATACGAGAGCCACCAGGACAGTTGGGTCTATGTTGTCAGACTTGGTCAGACATTACCTGCAGACATCTCTGAAGATGTGTCTGTGCACCCATGGTCTGGTTGTTGGTCATGTGACCCCAGTGAATTTCTTCTATGGCTGTGTGCCCCAGCTCCCTTTGCCTCCTGGTTTACGGGTACATCCGCCAGTCTTGGGCTTACGTAGCTCAGGCTGGCCTCTGACTGTGTAACAGGGTTTGCTCTTGATGTCCTGCTCTTCCTGCCTCCACCTCCTGAGTGCTGAGAGCGTGTGTGGCCACACCTAGTTGATGTGGCGACAGGTACGGCCAGCTGTGTGAATGTCCAGCTTGTGTTTTACCCACGGAGCACAGCCCTAACCTTGATTTGTAGAAATTACTTTTTTTTTCCTAAAAAATTACATCTGTTTGTATATGTATTATTTGCGTATGCCCACGTATGTGTGCAGGTGCACGCGTGCCACGGTGTGTGTGTGGGGGGTAGGGGCAGGGGCAGCTTTGGTGTTCGGCCCTCCTCATCCACCACGGGATCTCCCAGGGATCGAGCTCAGGCTCGCAGGCCGGCGCCGCGAGGGCGGGGCCTCGAGGAGAGCGCAAGCTCCGTCACCTCGCTGAGGTGCAGACCTCCTGCCTCCTGTACCCTGACTCCACAGGAAACTCTTTCAGATTCCAGCGGACAGGATGAAGACCCTGAAAGCCATCGTGCAGTACAAGCTGCCCTTGATGAAAAGCGGCAGGAACCTGTACTCCGTGAGTGCGGAAGGGGCGGGCCGGGGTCGAGGCCTCGGGGGCGGGGCCGGGGCGGGGTCTGCAGGTGAGAAGACGGTGGGTGGGGCCACACAGGCAGGCGGTAGAGAGTCTGCGGGGAGATGTTTGCAAGGTGGGGCGCTAGGGCAGGAGATGGGCCAGATAAAAAAGTGGGCGAGGCTGCAGGAAAAGGGCGCGTAATTGGTGGCAGGTGTTTCCGGGTACTTGAAGCGACCCCTCAGCCCAGAGCCAGTAGGTGAAGGCAGATAGTCGTTTAGTGCGTGTCAGAAAATGAAAGTAGTTGAATTAAGAAAACCCAAATCGAAAACTAAGCAGATTAAAACATGCTATTTAAAACCTTATTTTCAACTGCCAAGGGAAAAAAATGCATATATGTACTTGCATGTTTTATCTTTTTCGAGATAGGAGCCTATATTCTATATCATATTTATTTATAGCTTAGAATATCCTTTTTCTCTTTTTGTTTTTACTAATCTTATTGCAGTAGCTTGTTAGGAGCGGAGGTGTATGTGGGCGGGCATCGGGAGGTCAGACTGGTCACCTCTTTCACCGTGTGGGAGCTGGGGATCAAGCTCAGGCGTTCAGGCCTGGCTGAGCTATGTCATCAGTCCTACAACCCAATATTTTAATAGCTGTGTACAGCGTGGAAAGACTGTATCAAGACAGTCAGCACACATGGCTTCAACATTTATCTTTAAAAAAAATACCCATCGACAATCGCGGTGGCCCATACCACTAATTCCAGCTTTTGGCAGGAGGATCACTATGATGAGTTCAAGACAAACTTGATACACATGAGAGTTCCAGAACAAGTCTAGCATGATGGCACATGCCTTTAGTCCCAGCACCTGGGAGGCAGACGCAGGCAGATCTGGTTGAGTTTCTAGGACAGCCAGGGCTACATAGAGAGGCCCTGTCTCAAACAAACCAAAAATGAATATAAAGTGAAAATACTTAATCTTTTCAGTGACTTACCACCTAATCACACAATTTCTGAATGTGTAACTTTTAAATTTTAATATCTTACTATGTCCAAGTTGTTAAAAGGCTTTCCCTCTTGGTTGTTGCAAATATAGGCCAGATAACACTGGATTAAAAGCAGATGAGCACAGCTTTAATTGGTGCAGCTCCTGGGCGGGTTCACTGGCCTCAAAGAACAGGGTTGAGGAAGTCCCTGCCAGGCTAAGGCAGGGAGGTTTTATAGTTCTCAGGCGAGGGTTGATGGCGTGCCGGTCAGGAGCTCGGCTGTGCCCAGGTATAGTCAGAAGCTGGGCACCTGGGCAGGTACCTGGGTGAACAGGGCATATCAGAATGGCCAGTTGCATCGGCTGCCAGAAAAGCGAACTTGAGTTTTTGGTGCCATTGCTTTGAATCGAGTTTTTCAGTGGGGGTGGCGGGTTGGGGAAAGAGGGCAGGTGGGGTTTCCCAGCTTATGCAGGGGAGAGCAGCGGGCTCAACCAAACAGTCACAATCGATTATAATTTCACTTTGGGCTATTTTAGGCCACGTGTATTGAGGTTTGCGAGTGTTTCCTCTGGCTGCTGGGTCTCTCAGGCACCAGGTGACAATCAGAGGTCATTAGAGGTCTTGTGTCACTATACAGCAGTGTCACGAGTCTTGGATCACTTTGAAAATAATGAAAAAGATTCATCTTTGAAGCAAGACTGGGGACATGGGACTGTCATCCTAGCTATTAAAAAGGTGGAGACAGGAGGATTGGGAGTTTGAGGCCAGCATGAACAACTACTAAGATCCTCTAGTAAAATAAAAAGAGGCCTGGGGGTGTGGCTCAGAAGTAGAACTGCTGCCTAGAATCCCCACCCTTCCTACCCCGTGAGGGACTGGTCAGGATGTAGCCCCTGCTTAGAATTCCCCAGTGAGGGTTTGGGGGCGTGGTCACAGTGAAACCCCACCTGGAATCCCCCAGTGAGGGGGCTGAGGGCGTGGTCACAGTGAAGCCCTGCCTAGAATCCCCCAATGAGGGGCTGGGGGCGTGGTCAGGATGTAAACCCAGCCTAGAATCCTCCAGTGAGGGGCTGGGGGCATGGTCAGGATGTAAACCCAGCCTAGAATCCCCCAGTGAGGGGCTGGGGGCGTGGCTATCTGCTGTCTTCTAGCCTAGTATGTGACCCTGGGTTCAACCTTCAGGGGTGAAGGTTTCTAGGAAAAAGAAGCCAAAGCCTCCTTAGCTGTGTCCTGACCATATTCCTCAGGCTTGGCATCCTTGAGTTTGGGGCAGTGGCCTGTGGTCTCCAGCCACTAGGTGGCAGCAGCTTTCTCCCCATAGAAACAACAATTCAGTGCATGAATTATACCTCGTTGCCTGTGGGTGACAGAGCCTGTAGAGGGACACTTACAGGATTGATTCCGTTACACAGTATGGCATCTGCCTGCCGTGCAGTGAATGGGAGACCCTATAAGGTTTGGGTGGTGCTAGCTCTGGATATGTAACCCAGGCTAGTCTTGAATTTGTAGTCCAGGCTAGCCTAAAACTTGACATCCTCCTGCCTCAGTCTCCTGTGTGCTGGGATTTAAAGTCTTGCCACCACAACAGGAGCTCAAGCCTACAGTTTTAGGATTCGGTTTAGGAAGACACTTGCTAGGAGCAGCGCAGGAGCCAGCCGGGTCCCGATCTTTGCCCCCTTCCCATCCGCAGTGGCACGACTTCATAGAACTGGGGAATGCCATCCCCAGCGTGCAGCTGGACCGCATCATCTTAAGCCAGAAGGCCAACCAGTGTGCCGTCATCATCTACACCTCGGGGACCTCAGGGACCCCCAAAGGGGTGATGCTGAGCCACGACAATGTAAGCCGGGCCCCTTGGAGCAGGCTCTCATTCTGAGCCCCAGATGGGCAACATGGACGGGTGTGGAAGGTCTGTGTGGGTCTTTCTCCATGGGGAAACCAGGCAGTGGGTAGAACTGTGGGCTTTGGGGTGGAATAGCTTCTATCTGGTGGGTGTTTGCAAGCACGCATGTGCGTGTGCATGTTTGTGTGTGTGTTCTAGAGACTAACCTCAGCTGTGGTCCCTCGGAGGTGTCTATCTTGGATCCTTTGAGGCAGGGTCTCTCGGTGGCCTGAACCTCGGTGATCAGGGCAGGCGGCTGGCTACCTGCGGCCCTGCCCACCTCTCCAGGGCTCAGATTACCGTGCCCACCACCACATGAGCGCACGCCCTCACGCAGGGCGAGCACCTCACACAAAGACATGTCACTGGCCTGGTTGGTTCGCCAGGGTATCATGTGGCCCAGGCTTGCTGTGTAGCTGAGGATGACCCTGAACCCTCAGTCCTTCTGCTGGATGACACTGTGCGTGTGAGGACGTGTGTGTGCAGGCGTCTGTGGAGGCCAGCTCTCCACAGTGTCTTTCTTGATTGCTCTCCATCTTACATAGGAACTCAGGCTTCCCATTTGGACGCAGGGTCACAGGCTCAGCTTGTTCTGGGGGCGTGCTTTGTCTCCTCCCTCCAAGAGTGCGCCTGCGGTGGCTGCACACGCACTGGGCTGGGCGCTTTTGTGTCACCTTGACACAAGCTAAAGTAACCTGAGAGGAGAAAACGCCTCCACAAGACAAGGCCGCAGGCAGGCCTGGAGAGGATTTTCTTAGTGACTGATGGGGGAGGGCCAGCCCACTGTGTGCGGTGCCACCCTGGGCCGGTGGCACTGTTTCCATGAGAAAGCAGGCTAAGCCAGCCATGGGGAGCGAGCCAGTAAGCAGCACCCTCCACGGCCTCGGCCTCAGCCCCCGCCTCCAGGCTCCTGCCCTGCTTGAGTTCCTGCCCGGACATCCTTCAGTGAACAGTGGTACGGAAGTATGGGCCCAATAAACCCTTTCCTCCCCGACTTGCTTTGGCCATGGTGACCATCACAGCGATAGAAACCCTAAGACACTTACACACCACGTTTAGGCTCTAGAGATCTGAGTTCCGCTCTTCACACTTGTGTGGAAAGAGCTTTAGCAGCCAGGCCATCTCCTGCAGGTTGGCACTCTAGACCAACCAGCACAGAGAGGCACCCCAGCCTCGTGCCTGCCCGGTGGAGCTTCGAGTTTGGGGTCTTGCTGGTATGCGTGGGCTGGTGTCTTCCTCAGTCACCCTCCACTTTTCTGGGGAGACAGGGCCTCTCGCTGACCCTGCTGCCCACCCGTGTGACTGGCCAGCCACCAGGGAGCCTGCTATATCGGCTGGCATGATGAGAGTAGTGAGTTGCCAATGCCAAAAGGCTGGGCAAGAGTCTCTGGGAGATACCTTAGTATGGTGCTGTCCGTGCAAGCACGAGGACCCGAGGTTAGTCCCACACCCACAGGAGAGTTCACGCACGCTGGTGAGTGCTCTGTAAACCCAGTGCCGGAGCCGGGAGGCAGAGACAGGAATGCCCTGGAGGCTTAGTGGCCCGGGTCCAGCGAGAGACCCGCATCAAACACCAGGTCGGAGGGGCTGGAGAGGCGCCCAGTGGGTAGGGGCACTTGCTTCTCAGTGATGAGGACAGCTCACAGCCCAGCTTCAAGTGGAGCCGAGGCAGAGGGCGTCTGAGGCTCGCTGGTTTCTTTCCAGCCTGGCCACGAAGCCTGAACACCATGTTCAAGAAGAGACGCTGCCCTGGAGGGGTGTGCTAGCCTCCAGTGCGTTCACACTCGAGGGAAAGTATGTCTCTTAAGAGCGTGAGTGTGTGTGTATGAGAGGGGGACAGACGGAGAAGGAGAAGGTGTGTGGGTGCTCTGAGGCCGGAAGAGGCCCTCACCTGGAGTGCAGGGTGTCTGGGAGCTGCCCTGTGGGTCCTCTGTGGGAGCAGCAGCTTTTGGCCACTCAGCCGTCTCCAGCCCCAGGGAGTAAACCTTCCAAACCGTAAGGCAGGGAGCAGCTGAGGAAGACAGCTGAGGCTCCGTTCAGGCCTGCTCCTCACGTGTGCACACGAGCACACATAACCACACACATGTGCGCACGCGTAAGTGCTCGAATGTGCGCACACGAGTGCATGATGGTCCTTGGGTGAGGCACAGAAGCGCTGGACTGCGCTGCTTTTCCAGATCACGTGGACAGCGGGGGCCGTGTTGCGAGACTTCAACATAATGACCCATGTCGCAGGGAAGCAGGACATCATCGTCAGCTACCTGCCGCTCAGCCACATTTCGGCCCAGATGTTGGACATCTGGATCGCCATCAAGGCCGGCATGCTTACTTTCTTTGCCCAGCCGGATGCACTCAGGGTAAGGCTGGGTGAGGCCCTGCCAAGCGCCCAGTGGCCTTTGGGGGAGTCATCTGTCCACCGGGCAGGCCCAAAGCCTAAGGATCATCTTTGTCATCTTCCTCTTCCGCTCCATCCCACAGCACTGAGAAGAGCTGGGGCAGCTCTCTTAGTGTTATCATTCTCTACGGTTCGGTTGTCTCCACTGTGCCCCGAACAAGCCTAGGGAAAGCCCCGGCGTTGGACGAAGTCCGTCTGCTTTTCAGTATTTCCTGCATTTACTTACTTATCGAGGGTGTGCGCCACGGCGGGCAGAGGTCTCCAAAGCCCTCCACCCTAGGGCTGGGATGGACTTGGCTGTCTCCACCTCTCCCCTTCCATCCTCTGTAGCCGCTGAGACAGGCAGACCACACAGCCCCAGCCCTGTTGGCTGCGGCTTTGATTTTCCCAGAGTTAGCAGTTGCCTTTGCTTTCCAGGGCGGTGACGTTTCTTCCTGTCAGTTTTTCTTCCAGCATTCCGTGTGAGTTGGGCTGCTTGTCACCCATTGTCTTAGGTTGGGCTAACTGGAAGCAGAGCCTGAGGTGGGCTTTGGACCTTATGAGGTTAAGTAATGATCAGAAGGAAGCGAGACAAGAAGGGTATGTCAGAGAACCAAGCCAAAAAAAAAGATGGAAGCTGAGCAACCCAGACAGCTCCTGGGATGCTCTGGGCACGGGTCGGGGTCAGGCCAAGGCTGCCCCACAGCCCCACAGGGGCTGCAAGCCCGGCTCTGCATTCCTGTTTCCTGGGGTCTTTACTGTCCCCCTCCCTCTGCGTGTGTCTGGCCAGAAGCTTGAGCACAGGTGTGGGGCGAGCACTCCTGCCCGGGAATGCGGTTCTGTGGGCGAGAAGACACTGTGGGCTGTGGGGACCGGGTGGGACTTGAGCAGCCGGTGCTCTGTGCTTGCTGCTCTCTGCAAGCCTGGCTCTGCATCCCTGTTTCCTGGGGTCTTTACTGTCCCCCTGCCTCTGCGTGTGTCTGCCTGTCTGCCTATCTGTCTTTCCCTTTTTCATTCTTTCAGTCGCTGGAGACGACTGTTGGTGGAATTTTTTCAGAATAGCTATGGGACAGAAGTCTCCATTTCCTTATGTCCAGACTTTGCACACTTCCAAAAACCAGATGGGAGGTCTGGGAGTCCACCTCACCCCTAGCTGCCGTAACTAGTGACAAGACAAGCCACTTGGTACAGTGTACATGTGTTCTCTTGAGCTCTGGGTTAGAGGTTCGAACCAGCCTCTCAAGTGGCTAAAATAGAGGTGTCCACAGGGCTAGGCTGTTACAGAGCATTTGGGGAGCCTCGTTTTCCTGCCTTTTCCCCTTTCTAGAAGGATTGCTGACTATACTCCTGGCTGTGGCTACTCACTTCGTCTCTGTCTCTCTCTCTCTCTCTCTCTCTCTCTCTCTGTGTGTGTGTGTGTGTGACTGTTAACTGCACATATGTATCTACCCCATTGCATACTTGGTGCCCTTGGTAGCTAGAGGGCATTGGTCCCCTGCAGCTGGAGTCACAGGCCATTAGGAGCCTCTGTTGGAGTAGCAAGCGCTCCAGGCTTCTCTTCCGCTGTCTTTAAAGCCACCTACGCATCATCTGCCAGCATTACCCCAACACAATGCCTGTGAACACAAACATGCATGGATACACATTTGTACATGAACACAGAAACACCCCCCCAAACAGTGCACACATTAAGACAAACACACATGACACAAACACACTTAAACACACTATCTCAAGGTTTCCAGTTATGATAAAACACTTTGATCAAAAGCAAGTAGGGGAGGAAAGGGTTTATTTAGCTTACATTTCCAGATCATAGTTTGTCACTGAAGGATGTCAGGGCAGGAACTCAAACAGGGCAGGGGCCTGGAGGCAGGAGCTGATGCAGAGGCCGTGGAGGGTGCTGCTTGCTGGCTGGCTCCCCGTGGCTTTCTCACCTACCTTCTTACAGAACCCAGGCCCGCTGCAGGGATGGCACCACCCACCATAGGCTGGCCTGCCCCTCCATCGCTGTTAAGAAAACACACACAGACATGGCGACAGGCCAGTCTGGGAGAGGCATTTTCTAAATTGGGAGTCCTCTTCCCAAGTGACTCTAGTTTGTGTCAAGTAACACGAACACATCCAAACATAAACACAGAAGTAAACACACAGTGACAAACAGACATGAATACAAACATACAGACACACACAGATGCCACACACACACACAGTCATGGAGGGCACACTCAGGCTTTTCCGTTTCCCTCCTGTGTGGATCCTGCGAGCCACCTGATCACCCAGAAAACCCAGCTTCTCAAGATCCTCCACCTATCAGTACTTTTTGAATGTGTATTAGAAGAATTAACTTTACAGTAAATACAGTAAAAGGTGAAAGGCCTCAGGGTCAATGGAAACAGTAAAGTGTGTAGATGCACAGATATGGAGAGCCACACAGTAGAGACAAGATACAGTCGCAGAACACCACACAGACACAGAACACCTCACAGACAGAACACCTCATAGACAGAACACCTCACAGACACAAACACACACAGACACAGAATACCTCATAGACAGAACACCTCACAGACACAGAACACACACAGACACAGAACACCTCACAGACACAGAACACCTCACACGGACATGGAATAACACACACGGACACAGAACGCCTCACCCAGACACAGTACATGACACGCAGACACAGAGCAATGCATGTAGACACAGAATGCCACACTCAGAGACATACATGCCACCCACAGACACAGACACACAGAGCTACATACAAGCACAGACACAGCAGCACCACACAGAGACACAGACTCACATGCCACACCTAGTCCCAGATACACATGTCACACGCAGACACAGACACACTGACACACACAGAGCTACCCAGGGACACACGCTGACACACACACACGGAGCCACACCCCCAGTGACCACGCTGCTCAGATGAAATGCACTTGGAAATAAACTGGACAGCAGTTCCTAATAGCATGGCTCAGAGGGTAAGGGCCCACGCCATCGGCCTTGTGACCTGATGCCTGACGTTGTCCTCTGACCTCCACACGAGAGGCCTAAAGAAAACAGAAGGAACAGAAGAGTCACACGTGGCCACGAGCTAACCCAGACCCTCATGGCTCTGAGGTGTAAAAGGTTACAGCCGAGGTAGGTCGCCTTGGGGGCCCTTTCTCCTGGGAGGCATTCTTTTCCGGGGCCCCCAGGGAGGTTAGACAGACAAATGTTACAGCCAACGCTTCAGAGACTGGTAAGACAGCTGACTACACAACGTAAGGACCTGACTTCAAATCCCCTCAAGCAGGAAGCCGGGTGTGGTCACACACACCCACGATGGCAGTGCTGGCGGGGCGAGCAGGAGGGCCTGCAGGATGGCGTGGCCACCAGGCCGCAGGGTCAGGGGGGTGCCCTCTCAGGACGAAGGAGGCGTGGCTGCAGGGCCCTGCCCCCTGCCCTCCCTGCTGCTCCCCCGTGTGGAGCTTGTGGAGTGGGGGATGCGGACTGCGCCCCTCCCGGACCTGCTCTCCCTTTGTTTTCACGGCCCCGGGCTCTCCAAAGGTTCCCATTTCTGTACGTCTCTATCAAGTGTGGGGTACACTCACCAGCTTCCCTGCGTCTCCACTGCCTCCCACGACAAATTTTGCACCCGCTTTTAAAAGTGTCACTGTCCCGCGTGTCTCCTGGTGTGAACTGGCACATCAGCATCCTCGCTGACATCTTTCACTGTCGTGATAATGCTGAACATCTCACGGGCTCACTGACCGCTTGCTTTTGTGTTTGTTTGCTTAGTCAATTAGTTTTTTTGGTTTTTGAGACAGGGTTTCTCTGTGTAGCCTTGGCTGCCCTGGACTCACTTTGTACACCAGGCTGGCCTCGAACTCACAGAGATCCGCCTGCCTCTGCCTCCCGAGTGCTGGGATCGCAGGGGTGCCCCACAGTGCTCGCTCTTGTTCTTTATTCTTCTCTCACACAATGCTCCCTGACTCCATGCTCCCTGACTCTGTGCTCCCTGACTTCGTGCTCCCTGACTCCCTGGGTCCATGCTCCCTGACTCCCTGACTCCACGCTCCCTCCGCATCTTGTTCTACCCAGTTTGGCTAGTATGACCAGGAGGCCTGTGTTGTCTGAAGAGAAATGGAGGAGCACTTGGATTTCACTTCTATTCAGGTGTTTTGCGTTTAAGGTTTTCTTTGAGTATCTAATCATGTTGATTTCTGAGAGTTCTTTATGTATTCAGGCCATGAATCCTTCCGGATACCACGATTTGCATCGCCCAGTCTCTGGCCGTCTCCCCCACCCCCTTTGTGGCCTTTTGAAGCAGGAAGGGGAAGGAGACGTTTGACTTTGAGGAGGTTCAGCTCATTGATTTCCGCCATGCTCTGCCCTGGCTGAGCTGTCTCCCATTTTCGTCCAGCTGCTCTCTGCTTTCAGTTCTTCACGCGGAGTAGATTCTCATGTTGAGCAGTGGGGTTGCAAGCCAGGCACGACTGTTCGACTGTTCGCTCTTGTAGAGGAGTGTCCTTCCCGGGGGCAGTAAATGACCTGGAAGCCATGCTGAGAGCCAGAGGACCCTAAATGGAAAATGTGGAGCCCCTGTCCGGTGTGTCAGTTGGTCCATTTCTGCACACACATACACGCCTGTGCATGCGCACATATGTGCACACATATGCAGGCGTGAGGTGGATGACTCCCGAGTCAAAGGCTGCGCTGGGGGAAGGGAGCGGACGGCACGGCTAAGGGCCTCAGGGCCTCGCCCACTCTGTCCCCACAGGGCACGCTGCTGTACACTCTTCAGGAGGTGAAGCCGACCATTTTCCTGGGGATGCCCTGCATCTGGGAGAAGATGCAGGACACCATCAAGCAGAACGTGGCCAAGTCCTCCAGCCTGAGGAAGAAGGCGTTCGCGTGGGCCAAGATCCTCGGCTTGAAAGTCAACACCAAGCGGCTGCTGGGGTAGGCGGCGCCCTGCAGCTGGCGTGAGGGGCGCGGAGGGGGCGCTGCCCGCCGTCTGAAGCCGCTCTCCCTGCTGCTGCCCTCCCCAGGAAACGGGACGTGCCCATGAACTACCGCATGGCCAAGACCCTGGTGTTCACGAAGGTCAGGTCCTCCCTGGGCCTGGAGAACTGCCACTCCTTCGTCAGCGGGGCTGCGCCCCTCTCCCAGGAAGTCCTGGAGTTCTTCCTCAGCCTGGACATCCCCATCGGCGAACTGTACGGGTTGAGCGAGTGCTCCGGGCCGCACTCCGTCTCCACCCCGAGTACCTACAGAGTCCTGAGGTACGGCCCCGCAGCCCTCAGGGCCCTAGCGTCACGGGCTGAGGGCATGGCGGGGCTGTGACCACCCCTGACACACTTCTGAGGACCCTGTTCTCTAATCCACATCCACCCCCACACCACCCAGGCCCTCTGTTTTACCACACAACCTTCAGGAAAGGGTACTTGTTCTAGAACCATCTATCATGCTGTGTGCTGTTTCCTGGGAACACCGGAACAAATGTCCGTTTACCACAAATAACAAAGAAGGGCTTCCTCCCACCTGCGGCTTAGCGCACTTACGGGGTGATTTGTAGACTGTGGATCTCGGTCACTGACAGGAGTGGACATGACTCAAAGGCAGCACATCACCTCCACACCCACTGAAGCCTGAGCCACACCTCACAAAAGCCGCATCCAAAGCTCCTGCGAGTTGCACAGACAGCTCCATCCAAGTGTCTCCCGCAGGACTGTAATTGCTGCTGGAATCTGGGGCTGGGCTCTGAGGCCTTGTAAGTTTCAGGAAGTTCTCAAGACTTTTCCAGTGCTTCCTGAGTTGTAAGAAGCCTCCTTCCAGGAGTCTGTGTCCCAGTCCCAAGGGGGAGATGGCTCGCTGACAGTTTTCCTCCCAGTATCACCTAAGTGTTTTGTGACCTCAGGATTCTCAAGTATCCCTGTAGCTCCTCTCCGGCTTTTGTACAGTTCGGCGCAGCAGGTTGCAGGGCTGAGCCACAGCAATCCAAACACGTACACACTGTGGGAGCCTCCACTGGGCAGACCCACCTCCTTCTAGAATGCTCTGTCTGAGTCCCTGACCCGGCCCACTCCTGTATTGTACGTCTGGCTTTGTGCTTTTGCTTGAGGTTTGCTAGTTTCCAGAATGGGCCAGAATAACAATGATAAAAATAAAGGAGAAAGAGAAGGCCGAGAATGTGGAGAGAGGAAAGAAGGGCAGTAGCTGGAAGCTGATGCTGCCCTTGCACACTGCACCCTCGGGCGCTTGCTCAGCTGCACATGGCCTTCTCCATCCGTGGTCCGCCCTGTGACGTTTCAGCAGAGCTCTAGTTGCACTGTTGCCTGGACCGAGGGTGAGCCTGCCAGAGCTAGGATGGGCGCTGGCTGCTGATTGTGCACAGCGCATTCGCATAGGCTGATGGACACACAGCACTGCCTCAGTTTCCCTTTCGTGCATCTTCTCATGAGGTTAAAAGCACCCCCCCCCCGCATTGCTTTTCTGGGGAGATTCCAGCTTGTGGTGTTTGGGGTCTTTTTGGTTTTGGGGTTCTGTGTAGTCCCGGCTGTCCTGGAATGCACTCGGCAGACCAGGCCGGGCAAGGAACTCACAGAGCCGCCTGTTTCTGCCTCCCGAGTGCTGGGGCTAAGGGCGTGCGCCCCCAACCCCGCCTGGATAGCAGCTTGTTAGGTTCAATCCGCCGTCAGATGACTGTCGCCTGACGTGTGCTCTCCGGAAGGTGGCTTATGGTCGTTAGGTCTTCAGAAGGTTTCTCTTCTCCACATGAGAGGAAGCAGGATTTGCCGGGCCTGCCGGCAGGCAGGACACTAAACCTCAGAGGGCCCGGGGCAGGCACCGCCCTGTCGCCGACAGCCTTTCCCATCGTGTCCCCCAGCTGCGGCAAGGTCCTCAGCGGCTGCAAGACCATGCTGTCCCAGCAGAACAAGGACGGCGTGGGCGAGGTGTGCATGTGGGGTCGTCACATCTTCATGGGCTACCTGGCGAGCGAGGAGGCCACGCTGGAGAACATTGATGAGGAGGGCTGGCTGCACTCGGGGGACATGGGCCGCCTGGACAGCCACGACTTCCTCTACATCACCGGCCGCATCAAAGGTGTCAGGCTTATCTGGGGCCCAGGGTGTGGGCGTTGCTAGAGGAGCCAACATGGAGTTTTGGTGTAGTGGGAGATTTCAGAGCGCAGGAGGGCCTCTGGTATGGGAGATGCGGGAGCTCGGGTGCCGGTTCCCAGGTGCCGGTTCCTGTGGACACTGGGAAAGCAGCACTCCCTGGCATCAGGGCATGGTGCCAGGGACAGGCTGCCGTAGCTCTCTGTCCTGGATAAGACTGAAGTCCATCTGTCGGCTTTGCCGAGCTGTGGAGAGGCTGGAAGAGCTGGGAGAGGCTAGGGAGTGTCAGGGAGTCACCCCAGCCTCTGCTCACCATGGCCTGAGACTCTTCTGGGCTAGCCTGGGCTGCACAGCAATGCTGTGTGAAAACAGACAACCCAGCAGAGATGGCGTCCCTCGCCGTGCCCTTTGCTGTTTTGGGCAGGCGAGGTTTATTCCGCTCACAGCTCAGGCCCCACTCCTTTGCCAAAAGAACAGGCCAGGCAGCCTGGAGGCAGGAGCTGACGCGGAGGCTGCCGGGAGGCTTGGCCGCTGGCTGGCTCATCTGCTTTCTGTCAAAACACAGGAGCACCAGCTTAGGAGTGGCACTGCCCGCCAGGGGCCAGCCCCGACCCATCAATCACTGCTGAGGAGAAAGTTTTGCAGGCTAACCCATAGGCCAAAAGCTGACAGGGCAGATCCTGCCCAGATGGTGGCCCGTCCCCACCTCCAGTCCTCGGACATAGATGTTGAGGGCGAAGCCGAGGTGGGTGGGCCGTGGGTGCCAGAGGGAAAGCCCCGGCAGCTTCCGCTGGGGCCCAAGTGAGCAGGCCGTGCCAAGCTGGGCTGTCATTCCAGAAATCCTGGTCATGGCCAGCGGAGAGAACGTGGCCCCCCTGCCCATCGAGAGCCTCGTGAAGGAGAAGATCCCCATCGTCAGCCACGCCGTGCTGGTAGGCGACAAGGCCAAGTTCCTGAGCTTGCTGCTGACACTCAAGGTACTGCTGGCCGCGCCCAGCCCGAGCGCCCTCCCCGGGCGGGGAGCCACTGGGTGGGGCAGGGTGGCCGGGGAGCGTGTGGTGACAGGCTGTCCCGACAGTGTGAGACAGACCAGACGAGCGGGGAGCCGCTGGACAAGCTCAACCCCGAGGCCCTCAGCTTCTGCCGGGCGCTGGGCAGCAACGCAGACACCGTGGCAGACATCGTGAAGTGCCGAGATCCCGTCATCTACACAGCCATCCAGTACGGCATAGACCTCGTGAACCGAGAGGCCCTCTCCGAGGAGCAGAAGATCCACAAGTGGACCATCCTGGAGAAGGAGTTGTCCATGCACGGCGGAGAGCTGGGTGAGGGGCGTGGGCCTTCAGAGGGCTGCTCGCTGGGAGCCGGGCACCTCGCTCTGGCTGGGCCTTACCCTTGGCGGGGGCTGGGGCTTGAAGCCTTCCAGCGCGTGGGGCACTGCCACCTTCAGCAACAGCCAGGTGGGGATCTGACAGCCGTCTGTAGCCTGCAGCCCCAGGGGATCAGATGCCCTTTCCTGGCCTCTGCACAAGGCACACACACACACACACACACACACACACACACACACACACACACAGACAGACACAGAATTAAAAATGAAATAAATCTTGAAAATAGAGCTTTTTATCACAGCCAGGCTCCTTACCACCACCAGTCTGTGTGGACAGTGTGTGTGGACAGTGTGTGGACAGTGTGTGGACAGGTGTGGACAGTGTGTGTGGACAGTGTGTGTGGACAGTCTATGTAGATGCCCCTCTCACTGACCGCAGGAACAGCAGCGTAGCCCCCGTCCAGCCCGGGCTGTCTGCCGGTCGACCCCAGTGAGCAGGGAGTTTTCTCCTGCCTCTGTGTCCTGACTGCCCTCTCCGCTGTCCACAGGGCCGACATCAAAGCTTCGGAGACAAGCCATAGCCCACAAATACAGAGCACAAATTGAGAGCATGTACACGTGAGTGCGGTGGAGGAGCCTCCTCACACGCTCGAGCCGAGGTGGAGGCCCTGGCTCTGCCCGCCGCGCTGGGCTGTGGTGGCCGTGTCCGCCCAGCACCCTGCCCTCTCTGTCCTTAAGAATGGTCCTCCTGGCCAGGACCGGCGTTCTGCATGGATCCCCATTTATTTATTTACTTATTTTATCTTCCTGCACTGTGTGTGTGAGTATGTGCGGGGCTCAGAGGACACACTCCGTGTTGCCCGCCCTGGGAGGGCCGGCAGCCTGGCTGGCCCCGGCTCTCGCCTCGGCTGCCAACCCCGGAGGAGCAGGCCACGCCTCAGGGTTTCCAGTTGGGTTCAGTTCCTGTGCCGTCCACCCTGTGGTCCCCAGCCTCCCGGGGCTGCAGCTGTGGCAGAGCTACCCCCACACCCGCTGGCCCCAGGACGTGTCTACCTGGGGTGGGTCGTGCTGAGCGCACACGCTGCTCCCGTCGCCCTGTGGCCACCCGCCACCCTGTCCTGGGAAACGGAGGGGACCCCGCAGCTGGCCAGCCGCCCGGACAGAGCCCGAGGGCGCAGGCACCTTAAGAACCGTGGGCACAGAGGCGGCCCCTGCTCTGTGATGCCCGCTGCCCACGGCGCATCTCCCTCCCATGGGAACACCTGTGTCCCACCTTCCTCTGAGTACAAGTGTGGGCCGTCCAGGTGCAGGTGTGAGCGTGTGTGCGTGTGTGTGCACACTGGTGTTCTGAGGCTGGCCGGGGAGCCCCAGAGGGCCCCTGTGCTGGGTGGTTACACAAGTGCCCCCCAGGTAGCCAGACCCCCCTCCCCCCCCCCCCCGCTCTCCCTTGCCTCCCTCCCTCCCCCTCCTTTTACACAGGTGCTGGGGATTTGAACTCCGGCCCTCAGCTTGTTCCACTGGCCCTCTCCCCACTGAGCCCCACCCCCATCGACATCATGAGGGCAAGGCTCACCCTGTGGGCCTCACGGCGGCACTGGGACAGCCCACCTGCCAGACAAGGTCAGCGAGATGCCAGGCTGCCTGACCAGCGGGCACAGCTCCAGCACCTGCTGCCTCTGTTCAGAGCCTCGGGCTGGGCTGGGGTAGACGGTGCCCTCCCGAGGGCCGGCATGGGCCCTTCCCCTTCAGAGGCCCTGCTAAAGTCTAACTGACGTCAGCATTGGTAAAGCGTGTGTGGCAGGAGGCCGAAGGACAGGGGTGCCCTGCTCTTTCTGAGACCTTGTTCCCCAGAGCTGAACCTGACGACATGCCCAGCTTCTCACGTGGGCTCCGGGGGTTCGCCAGCGCCCTCCCCAAAAGGCTATCTGCACCGGTGTTTCCTGTGGCCCCTCCTGCCTGGTGTCCATGTGGCCCCTCCTGCATGGTGTCCCCGTGGCCTCTAGCTGCCGGTGTGGAGGAGGGACCCATGGGGCATTCCCTTCCTGCAACCCCACGCTGTGCCACCAGGAACACTAACACACTAACCCGGCCTCCAACCGTGGACCACTCAGTGGGCAACTCCCCCAGGGCCCGTCCCACGTGGAAGACGCCACACACACAGCACACACACCCCCACACACTCCCTCGTGCTCTGCTGGCTCCCCTCCTCAGCACCAACAGAGACCCAAGAAGAGAGGACAGCGTCCGGGCACGAGGGGAGCACAGTGGGGGGGGGCGGCTCCTCTCTAGGTTTGAGGACCCCCGAACCCCTTCCTGGGGAGCGTGGGAACCTCCTATGAGCCGGTGGGGGTGTGACGCCCGAATCTCCCCGGGAAGCAGGCCTGTCGCCGCTCTGGCTCTTCCTGTGATTTCTTGTGTCTGGTGTACGTGTGTGGTGTACTTGTGTGCGTGTGTGTACTCTTGTGTATGGGTGTGTGCATAAGTATGTCTGTACTTGTGTGCATGTGTGTGTGCTCAAACGCGCATGTGTGTACACGCGTGTCTGTGTGAGCCCCCATTCGGCTAAACTACCCGCCGCCAAGCCCGGAGGATAGCGCTGTGTGCCCCACCCGTCAGGGTCAGAAACACACGTCGTCGCACCCGGCTCTCGGCAGGAGTGCCAGGGAGTCAAGCTCAGTGCTCTCCCGACCGAGTGGCCAGCTCGGGCCACGGGCCTGACTCCCCGCTGACCAAACGGCCACCATCGGGCCTGACTCCCGCTATCCGCGGGCTTGACTCCCCACTGACCACTGACCTCGGGCCTGACTGCCCGAGTTCCTTCCTAAGGATGAGCCGAGCACGCAGACCTAACCAAGCTCACCCAAGACGGGCCCCCTCGGCCATCCCAAAGCGGAAGCTCTCCATCGCAGCCACAACACCTGGGGGAGTTCAAGGATACCTTCAGCAGCTTGATGGATTGGGGCCAACCTGGGCCGCTTGTGTTCTTGTCCAGAAGAGAGGAGAAACTGGAGGGCAAACGGCAGTTGAGGACTTGCTAGGAGGTCAACTGATCCAAAGGGCAGAACCAGACGCAGGCATGCCAGTCCAGCTGGAGTCCGTCCCCGACACCAAGCCTCTGGCACACGCTGGAGCCTGCTCCTTGACGACCCCAGGCGCAGGCGCCCTCTGCAGTTCTGCCATCCCAGCACTCAGGAGGTGCAGGCAGGAGGACCAGGAATTCAGGGTTGTCCTTAGCTACATAGCAAGTTCTAGGTCAGCCTGGGCTACCTGAGACCCTGTCTCAAACAAATGAAAGTAAAACTACCAGAGAGCAGGTGACTTTTAGATAGCTTAAGCCAAGGACAAAGATACAGGTCTGTCGTGCCAGGTCTTGGAAGGCTGGGGCCGAGGATAACTTGAGGGCCAGCCTGGGCTACACAGAAAGACACTCTTGGGGGAGGAAGTCTGGGGGTGTGTGTGGCTGAGTTAAAATGTCTGTGCACAGCGCTCAGGAGACCTAGCCAGCCCCTGCGTGCCCTGTAATGTCCCTGCAGAACCACTGAGTCGGAGAAATGAACAGGGGCAATTAGAAGGCTGGCAGGAAAGCAAACAGGAAGTCCCGTGGCGCCGCCGCCTCAGCCTTGACAGTGGTTTCCAGGTCTGGTGGCTCTCCCAGCTCTCTCGTAAATGTACCTTCAACTTTATACTATTCTGTCATTACTACTGTCACTTATTTGTGGGGTGAGAGCTCCTCAGTGCGTGTAGAGGTCAGAGGTCAATCAACTTCAGTTTCCCCACAGTGTGGGCCCCAGGGAGGGGGGTGTCAAAGTCAGTTCATCAAGCTAAGCCATCTCCCAGCACTCAGATGGCCTAGGCTGACTCAGATTTGCTCTGTAGCTCAGGCTACCCCTTACCTCACCATGTAGGCCAGGTTGGCCCTGAAAACTGTCAGCATTCCTCTGCCTTAGCTTACTCCCATTTCGGTAGCATTTTGGCGACGTCTGGTTTCTCTCAGCTGAGGCGTGCGCAGACGTGGGTGAGTGCTGGGCCGGGAGGTCAGAAGGAGGTGTGGCATCCCCTGCAGCCTGTGAGGGGACAGCTGTCCGGGGAAGCAAGCCCTGCCTCTCGGGAGAGCAGCTAGGGTTTAGCTGCGACCCACCAGGTCAGGCCCAAGGGCCCAGCCACAAACGGACGCGGGCTGTTTCCCAGATGCACCAAATCCAGGCAGCGCCCTGAGCACTTGCCACAGGGCCAGATCCCAGCCACCCAGCAGAGAGCCAACCAAGAGTCAGGAAGAGGTCTTGGCGGCAGCGCCTGCAGCCCCGGCAGAGGGAGGCAGAGGTGGGCGGCTCTCTGTGAGTTCCAGGCCAGCTCGGTCTACGGAGCGAGTTCCAGGACAGCCAGGGCTACACAGGGAAACCAGGTCTCATAAAACAATAAGCAGTTGGCCCCAAGGGGATGACTGAATGCAGGGTGCATTAACTTCGGGCTTCCTCATTTGCGCTGGCAGGAAGCATCCATGGAAAGCAGGCTCGGTGTAACCACAGCGTCTTAGTGGACCCGAGGTAGAACAGACCCCTCGCTGGGTGCCGCCTTGTCCTGTTTCCTTCACGCAAATCTCTGAGGCCAAGTAACGAAGTTCAATGAGCAGCTCAGGGTCTGACCTCCAAGATCCGGATTCTGCTTGTAGGTCCTGTTAGAGGGCTCACCAAGGCAAACGGCCCTCCAAGGGAAGCGGAAAGAGGCAGCTGGCCTGCCCGTGGACCCGGGGCTGAGCCCAGCCCTGCACAGCCACCCGCACAGCCTGGGCACACCGACACTGATCCAGAGAACTCCGGGTGAAGCTGCCTGGCTGGTCCCAGAAGACACTGTGAAGCCTTTTGCAGGTTGATTATTTCCGTATTGAGATTCAGGTAGAGATCGGAGGACAACCTGCCACTCGGTTCTCTCCTACCATACGGGTCCCAGGGATGGGTGGAACTCAGTTCTTCAGGCTTGGCGGCAACCACCTTTACCTGCTGAGCCGTCTAGTTGGCCCCTGGAGAGATGGCTCGGAGGCTAAGAGCACTGGCTGCTCTAGCGGAGGTCCTGAGTTCAGGTGTGAGCACCCAGAGGGCAGCTCACAACTGTCTATAGCGCCAGTTCCAGGGCATGGGGCACCTTCACAGCACACATGCAGGCAAAACAATCACGTTAGAGAAAAAGGAATCTTTATATATATAATATTTTAATTTTTGAAAAAGGTTTGTTTTCATTTCCTGGGCTTTTGTTTGTGTGTGTGGGGGGGCGTGTGTGTCTCAGCAGGGCAGCTCACACGGCAGGACTCTGTGGCACTAGGCTTCCGGTTGCTCAGAGGTGTTTATTGTGGAAACTCCAGTCCTGGGCACAGTCTAAAGTCTTTCTTGAGATCTGACGAGCTGGCCTGCGCAAACATGCTTGGTGGCACACGCCTGTCACCCCAGCAGCCAAGGAGCACGGGCAGAAAGATGAGCTCAGCCTGAATGACGTGGGGCGGGCAGCGGCTAGCCTACCTTGGGCTACTTTGCAAGACCCTGCCTCAGAGAAGCAGCTGTGGTTGCTTTGGGCACAGGAGCGCCAGCCAGCCGGTGTTCACCGTGCAATGATCTGTTCGGCGGATAAAGAGTGAGCGAATGAGTGAGTGGAGCTGAGGTCTGAGGGGCCCTGCGCGCGCGCGCGTCTGCAAGGACTGGCGCCCGCCTACCATCCCAGCACTAGGGAGGTGGAGGCAGGAGGATCGGGTGTCGGAGGCTAGCTTCCGCTCCGTAGTTTCTCTCCAGGGAAGAGAAACTGCCTGCCTGCCCGTCAGTCGGGCGGCTCGCTCAGGCCCCAGCGCCGTCCGACGCCCTCTTCGGGCCTCCGTGAGCATTGCACGCACACGCACAAAGATCTTTCTTAAAAGGAAAAAGTTCTCAGCTTGTAGTCCATGAAGGAACAGCGGAAGCCGGAGTCTGCTGCTCCCCTCAGACGGTCAGGGTCTCCGCGTCTGGTGGAATCGCCTCAACTCCGCAAAACACGCGCTGCCCAAACCTGCACCACCAGCCGGGCCTCGCGCGCCTCCTTGGAGCCAACCCTTCCCGGGAGCCGCGCGCCTCCCGCCAGGCCCCGCCTTCCTTCACAGCGATTGGCCAGGATTCTACTCGAGGGCGTACCCCTGCGCCACTGACAGGCACCACAAAAGCCAATGGGGAGAGCGCCCGCCCTCCCCGAGGCCGTTAGAGGCGGCCATGGGCGGGCCGTTGGGGGGGCGGGGCGTGCAGCCTGGTAACCGTTGCCGGGCGCAACGCCCCGCCCCGCGAGGGCTGCTCGAGACCGAGGCGGGCGGGCGCTAGGTGCGGGCGGGCGCTGCAGGCGGGCGGGCGGGCGGCGGGAGCCGGAGGAGGAGCGGCCGGCGCCGCCACCGCCGCCGCCATAGAGACTGTAGCCGTGGAGACTGTTACTTACCAACGCGGAGCGACACGCAGCGGCCGCCGCCGCGGGAGCCGCTACCCGAACTCCCCGCCGAACTCCAGGTGAGCGGTGCGGACCGGGGCAGGGGGTAGCGGCGGGCGGGGACCCAGCTGGGGGGGTCGCGGGGCCGGGCGCGGCGGGACCCGGCGCCCCAACTTTGCAGATGCCAATTTCGCCTGTCCTGATCCACACCTCTGATTTGGGGGAGCCCTGGCCTGGGCGAACCCCTCTCTCACTCTTCGAAGTTTGTAAAGTGCAGCGATCTCCTTTCGTGTTTGACGCACCAAATCTGACTCGGAGGGGCGGGGACTCCAGAAGACCCCCTGGTCTCATTTTTACCCCGGAACGCCTAGGGTGCGGAGGCGCCCCAAAACTAGCTCCTCAGTTTCATTGGCCTTAAAGCCTGGCTTGGGGGCTCCCTCAAACCCACTCCTCGCTGTCATCCCCGGAAAGCTTGGGCTTGGAGCTCCCCCAAACCCTCTTCTCACTGTCATCCCCCCAAAACCTGGGTTGGGGGCTTCCACAGAGCCAGCCATTTTCCCCTCGTCTGAAAACCCAGAGGCACCGTCTCTCCTTTACACGCTGGGACCCCGGTGTCATCCATGAACTTGACTCCGAGAGGACTCTTAGATTTGGCCCAAAGTTCCGAGCGTTCGGTTTCCTCAAGGGCTCAGGCGCGCCGGATTTGGGGGTCCCCGGCACCCCTCTCTTGTGCTTTGACGAAAATAGTGAGTGCGTTTGTTCTGGAAGGAATTCCTCCTCCCTTCGCGCTTTCTTGTCCGTGCCAAATTCCCCGGCGGGCGGGCGCCCTGGATCCCGCCCCCGCCCCCTGGAGCCCCACACTGCTGCGTTTGGGGTGTCCCGGGCCCCGCGGTCCTTTCCCACGCCGCCCCGGGGAGCTCACGCGCACCCGCGGCGTCCGCTCCGCCGGGATCCGCAGCCCGGAAAAGTTCCCTATGGGGAAACGCTGCGCGAACGGTTTGCAGGAAGAGCCGGGGGGCCGGGGGGGGGGGTGCGCGCCCTGCGTGCCCCGCCCGTGCACACGCACGCACACCCCAAAACACCCGAGTCCCGTCGCCCCTCCCCGCGGGCCGCGGCCGGGATGCCCGGCGCAGCGGTCGTTTCCCCGGGGAGCTCCGGGACGGGCCCCGGGGCGGCGGGGGTGGGGCGCGCTGCGTCTCCCCGCAGACCTCACCCCCACTCCCGCGTCCGGGGGACCCTCGGGTCCCAGGCGCCTTGGTTTGCACAGGGTTCCTGTTCCGCCGAGGACAGTCCTCCGACTGCCTGTTAAATCAGTTTAACTTTGTTGGCGTGTGTTCCTTGCTCGTCGCAGCCGTGGCCTTTTTCTGGGCATGGCGTGTTCTACCCCACCCCGCTCGCCTCTCTCGCCTCCTCCACTCCTGGCGACCCCTGCTCTGCTGCCCAGTCCCACGGCTACCTTTTGTCTGGTTTCTTTCTCCCCCTTCCTTGAAGCTGAGTTCAGCTGGGGTTGCCCGATCCATGCCTAGGCTAGGACAGCGGTGACCCCCGCCCCCCTACACACACACACAGCAGTGGCATCCCTGGGAATGAGATGGTTATTTGCTTACCGTTGAGTGGTTCGCTTTTCCGTTTAATTTTGTCATGTATGTGTTTACTGTGTGTGACCACGGGCATGTGTGCACGCTGAGGTCAGAGGACAGGAGTCCCTCTCTGTCCTGGGGCTCAGCAGGCCTGGTGGCCTGACCTGCTGGGCCGCCTCCCTGCGAAACTTGAGCTTCTAAGGTGGTGTGAAGACCCTTCCCGCAACCATAACATTAACGAAGTATTAACGACACGAAATCTTTCTTAAAATAGTTTCCTCTTTGTATTTTTAAATTCTGTGGCCTCAGCTTGTGAAGGACGCTTGTTTGATGGGAGGGTCCTGACTGAGTCCCTTGCCCTTCCTCCCTCCGGGGTTCAAGGACTGCAGTGGATTGGAAAATCCACCCAGGGGGGCCTCTCACCCACTCGCACTGAGAAGCGAGCTCGGGCCTCAGGGAAAGGGAGCCAAGGCTCTGACCACCTGGTGCTAAGCCGAGGATCCCCACAGGACTCTGAGGGACAGCCTGTGGGGAGGAAGCCAGGGAACCGTGACGCTTCAGCAAAGCCTGCTAAGTTCTGCCTGTCAGACGGGTCCCTGCAGACCCCTGAGCCCCAGGGCCACCACAGGGCTGGGAAGGACTTGTCACCACACTGGCTCTTTAAAATACAGCCCATAGTTCTGCATTTTAGTCTTAGTACCTTAAACTATATCAGCTGTGGTATTTTTAGTACCCTTTTATTTTGTGTGTGTGAGTGTCTTCGTGAGCTATGGTGTGCACGCTGGAGGTCAGAGGACAACTTGCTGGAGTTGGTCCTTTCCTTCAGGTGCGTCTTGAGGATCAAACGGAGGTTGCCAGCCTTGGCAGCAAGCCCCTTTCCCCTGCTGAGCCCCCTCACCCATCCCACTGGTGATATAAATATTTGTGTGTGTTAACTGGTTGTATGTTAATATATTCACATAAAATGAATTCATCTGTAAACCAATGGTTGCTTGGCTTGTTAAGTCCTTAGCTAGAAGGAGTCACATGTTTTTGTTGTTTACTTGTGTGCCTGTTTGTTTATTGGGGGTGAGGCTTTCATGTGCTGGACAAGCGGTCTACCACTGCCCAGGCAGGCATCCTGGCCCTGCTCTATTACTTTACTGTAGTTTTAGAGAGAGCCTCACTGTGCGGCCCTGGCTGTCCTGGAACTCCATCTGTAGCCCAGGCTGGCCTCAGACTCAGCGATCCACCTGCCCCTGCCCCCCGAGTCCCACCTGTTTCTTTTAACCTAACCGAAGCTGTCTGTTTCGATAATGCAGCCCTCCCCTGTGTGCTTGTGCGATGTGAAAGCTTCTAGAAGGCAGGTGGCCTATCTGGAGGATGCAGGCCTCAGCAAACTGCAGGAGTGGGCGGGGCAGCGTCACATCTGCCTGTCCTGGCTGCTTTGGAGCTGAAATGAGCACAGCCCTGGTTTCTGCCTCGATTCTGAATATTCCGGAGAAATGAAGTGGAGAGCAGTGATAAGTCACTTCACGTCAGCTGTAGTTCTTTTTCCACCAAGGGAGGCCGAACCACATAAGGGAAGGGAGTGGGAGCATGAGAGTTCCGGTGCCCAGGCTTCCTAGTTGTCAGTGTTGTTGAAAGGACAGTGGGTCTGTGTGCTGCTCAAGTCCTTGTGATCCTTTACTGGAATGTCAGTACTATGTGGATGGCTCCGCCACCCATGTCCTGAGTTAGTATGTGGGTGTGTGAGTGGATGGATGGACAGACAGACAGGTGAATGAACAGATGGGTAGATGGATGAATGAGTGAATGGACAGATGTATAGGCTGGCGGATGGATGAATGGGGCATGTATGTATGTATGTATGGATGGATGGATGGATGGATGGATGGATGGGTAGGTGGATGGATGGATGGATGGATGGATGGATGGGGGATAGATGGACGGGGATGGATGGATGGGTGGATGACTGATGGGTGGGTGGGTGGGTGAGTGTAAAAATGACAAAATAGTTAGGTAGCATGTGTGTTTGTTGGAAGGTGGAGATGAACTGGGCCACCTACATGACTCATGGTCTTCTCTCAGCAAATGACATTTTTATTAGTTATTTTTGTAGTTTGAGACCGGGTCTCATGTATCACTGACCTTGAGCCATGATCCTTCTTCTCCCCAGCTGCTGTGCTGATAGGTGGTAGGCAGGTGCCACTTCTAGAGAAGTCACTGAGGGAGACAGATGCTCCTGCCTTTCTGGGAACATGAAGCTGGGGGTGGTGGCCCTGCCCAGCCCCCCGCCTTTGCACTGAGGTTCCCTACCCAAGAAGCCTTTCTTCTAGGTATAGATTGTTCCCAATACCTGAAGCCTGGGGTGGCCAAGTCTGGTTGCAAGTCTGGCTCCCCAGTGTCCCACAAGTGCTGTCATTCCTTACTCTTGCTTTAGTGAGCCTCAGCTGGGCTCTCTGTGAGGCTGTCAGGGGCATCCGGAACACCACAGCCCTGCAAACACCATTTGCCCCCTTCTGGAAGCTGACTGTTCAGTGCCCCTGTCTCCGGGCTGTCTGTGCCCAGTGCCGTGTGTGCATATTTCACATTATTCTGCAGTGAGGGGGATGGGCTCAAGACCCTACACATGCCAGGCAAGTGCTCTGACCCTGACCCCAGCTTCAAAAAAAAGCCACTGGAGTCTAAGGCTCACTGCCGACGGGGAGCGTCCCCCTGCCTCGAGCCCTATGGTGACCATGAGTTTGCTGGGCAGCTTTGCCGTGTGAGGTTGGCTTCCAGAACCCTGTGGTACCTGGAAGGAAGCCACTGGAAGCGGGTTGGCCTGGCCTGGCCTGTCAGGACTTGAACTCGGCCCTGGGAGCAGGGACCCAGCCCTGTGCACCTCAGCCCTTTCTTACAGCCACATTCCTGTCATATGAGGTGTGAGCCTGGCAGGTTCTACTGCCCTGCCCAGCACCCTGCCAACTGTGGCTTCTCCTTTTAGGCCTCAGTGAATCCTATGATTTCCTGCCATAATGGCTGACTGACCTCTCCTCCCTATAGACCCAGAGATTTCTGCTGCTGGGACTTGGCGAGTAACTGTGGAAGCATTATACAGACATTATAAATAGAGTTCAAGGCCACCCTGGTCTACAGAGTGAGTTCCAGGACAGCCAGAGCTATGGAGTGGGACCCTGCCTTGAAAACAACAGAAGCAAGTAGAGTGGAGCTAGAGAGGTGGCTGGGGTCTGAGATACCCACTGGTCCTGCAGAGGACCCGGGTTCGGTTCCAGCTCATACACAGCTCTCCAACTCCAGCTCCAGGGGCTCTGATGCCCTCCTCTGACCGCCATGGCACAGGCATCCAGAAAGACACAGAAGCAGCAAAACATCCATACACACAGATTGATTAAACTTACAAAGAGGTAGAGGGATGGGCTGGGGCTCGCTAGGGAAGGCACTGGCCTGGCATCCACACAGCCCTGGGTTCTGTCCCCAGCATAGGCGGGCCAAAAACCAGGCATGGGGAGCATCCA